CCAGGCTAGAGTGAGTGCCGTGGCGTCAGCCTAGCTCACAGCAACCTCACACTCCTGGGCTCCAGCGATCCTTCTGCCTCAGCCTCCCGAGTAGCTGGGACTACAGGCATGCGCCACCATGCCCGGCTAATTTTTTATATACATATCAGTTGGCCAATTAATTTCTTTCTATTTATAGTAGAGATGGGGTCTCGCTCTTGCTCAGGCTGGTTTTGAACTCCTGACCTTGAGCAATCCGCCCACCTCGGCCTCCCAGAGAGCTAGGATTACAGGCGTGAGCCACCGCGCCCGGCCTGGGTTGATTATTTTTTGAAAAGAGAAGACAAAAATGTTTATAGAAATAAAGAATAAAAAGGAAGATGTGGTGGGGTTGGGAGCCAATGGGACATGGTCCTGATGATTGTAGTGACAGGAAGGGAATGGATGAGATGAACAGCACAGGTGGATGGAAGAGTCCCAAGTAGGGCAGAAGGCTACTGCTTCCCTTGTGATGAAGGAAAGTTGGCAGGAGATCCAGATATTTAGTACAGGAATAGGAAGTTGAGGATTTAAGGTCCCAGAGCTTCAACTTTCTCCCTGAAGCAGCAGGCAAGGTTATCTGCCAAAACAGGGCCAAGCAAAACTAAGATTGAGAGTTTAGGGCACGATTCAGTAGAGCTCAGGCTCTGAAGCCAGACAGCTGGGGTTCAAGTTCCAATTCCTGTGCTTCCTAGCAGAATGACTCTGGGTCTCCAGAGTCACTGTGACTCTGGGTTTACAGTTTTGTCTCCTGTAAAACGGGAAGGATAATAGGTCCTACTTTACAGGGTTACAGTGAGGAATCCCTGAGTCAATGCATATTAAAACAGATGCCTGGCACATAGTAGGCACTCAATAAATGTTAACTACTGCTGCTGCCATGATCATCATTATTATTGAGGAGAGAGTGGATTAACAGCAACTAAAATCTCCTATTCCTCCTCACTATGTTAATTTTCCATAAACAAGCTGGCTGCTCCCTTAGGCAAAATCCTTGAGTCACTATTTTATGCCCTTCATGCTACTTTTCCTTACGGGGTCATTCTAACTTGTCTTCAGAATCTAATCTAGAGCTATTTTAATCTGATTCTTTGGTCACGAGTTCCTCCCTGACCACTCCTTCTCCTTCTTAAATCTTAATTCAATTCCTGCATGCCAAGTAAAATTGCTTTGCTTGCAGACAATCAAAGTCCAGTGAAATAGTGTCCCAGGATTCTCTGCCAGCCACAAACACGTCTTTATTAACTGTTTCTCCCCAGGGCACACAAGACTTATGTGATGCCTCTGAACTTTTTCAATGTTCTAATTTCTTTTCATTTTTACCCTAAAACCATCTATACTTTTTAAAGAAAACTTTTCTGGTTGCTAATCTCAGCACACACGCCATTCCTAATGGTTCCTAATTTTAATTCCCTTTTTCTCAAAATAACACATTCAGGTTTTATAGTTCTCCACCCTAGTTCCTTTGTACCATTAAGAAAAATATGAAAGTTACATGCATAAAATACATATTTTCTGGCCCTATAGTCTTTTAGTTACAGATATCATAACCATTATCATATATAAAACCCATGTATTGCTCTTGTATCTAGCAGGTTCATACTTCACCTACATATTTTTGCTTAGAGGGTGTTTTTTTCCTATATTGAGTTTCAATAATAAAATTAAACTAGTTAAAAGCTACATTCACAGTCTCTGGTTAAATTTTGCTTAAAACTGTCTGTGAAAAGTTATAATCACAGTTAAGAAAAAGTACTTAGTAACAAAAAGCCTTTGGAAATACTCCAGGATGTGAACAAATGTTGTTTTGGTAGAATTATGGGTGACATGTATTCTCTTTTAAAATTAAAATAATAATTTATCCTTGGAACATATTTTTGAAAAAATACCTAATAACACACAGGAAAATATTAAGAGCTTCAGAAGAAGGCTCTTGGGATACTAAAAGTGCTATGTGGGAAGAGATATAAAGTTTTTTAAGACAACAGTCTCTGGAAAATGTGCATCTGAAGCAAGTTAGAACAACTGCAAATGAGATGCAGCTGCTTCTGGAAAGTTCTTTCAGAGGAAGAGGTGCCTTCCTGAGACCCCTGAGAGGCCCCTGAGAGTATAAGAGGTGATAAAAATGTGTGTGAGTATGTTGGGTAGGGCGAGGCAGAGAAATGGATGTGGGGGTTTCCCTTTTCTCTAACAGCAAAATAACTGCTTTTGATACAAGAAAATTTAATCCCTGAGAATTTTATGCTCTCAGCTTTGAAACAGTTTATGTTGTGTTTCACTTCTATCACATGAAAGAGGATGAATGAGGGTATCTACTGTTATAATTCTTTATACTTTGTAATTCCTCAAGACTAGTGACAGGCAAATAGTTGCCTGATTCTCTAAGTCAAGAAGGAAAGAAGCCACCTATTCGCTTGCCTTGGGAAGAACAATATATTTTAATTTGGAAAGCATTGTTCATAGTGACCTGAAATCAACAAGTCATCTGACAGATGAGGATAACTAAAACCAATGAAATGGATATTTGTGAAAGAAATACTACCAGATATGATGAACCCTTAATGACTATCAGGTAAGACTACACGTGACATTGGCTCTTCAGCTGGCAAAAAGGTAATTTACTTGCCACACAGGAAATAAAAACTAAAGTGGTTTGTGAGATTATCATCAGTGTGACTCAGGGAAAAGAGCACCAGTCTAGTAGTCAGGAGAGCTGTGCTTTCATGCTATCCATCATTAAATAGCTCTGACTTGCAATACATCCCTTTCCCTCATTTCCAGCTGGGGAGGAGCTGGCCTAGGAGAATGAAGATCCTTTACAGGACTTGTCAATTGGGCAGTGGTGTGTCATCTTCACTTACATCATAAAAATAAGAAAAAAAGGAATGGCACCCTAGTGGCTCCAGAAGGCCAACATGTCGTAGCCTACTTTGCCTGTAAAGGAGGTAGACCAATGTCAAAGACATGGTCAGTCACCCTAGATTCTACATTCTGAGCTTGGCTTTAAGCTGCCTGGATTATTTATGTCTTTGGTAACAAATATTTTGATACTAGAGCATGCTACTGAATGCCTATTGTTTGTTTGCACTGTTTAGACTGTGAGAGCTGTGAGAACAGCTCAAGGGAACAATCACCAACAATCACTCAGATGCACAACTCATCTAAAATTCACTGACTGCAACTCTAAAAGAAGTCTGAAGCCCTTCCACTTAGATGCAGGGATAAAAGGGGGGTAGGATTAACACGTACATGATATTAGAAATAAAAAAATTGTTAATAAGATATCAATTATACCTACTGGCTTATTTCTTTTAAAAATGTACAATAACAAAAATAACTATATTATTGTTATGATTTTCCATTTATTTGTGATTATTAGATTAACATGCTTCCCCCATCTGACCCTTAGCCGTGTGACTCTATTTGGTGTTTCATTGTATCCCTAGCACACCTAGCACATAATAGGTACTCTGTGGACTTAATGAATGGATGGTTTGATATGTGTAGTTTTTTTTAAGTGAGATTTTATTTATGCAAATATGGGAAAGTCTCAGGGGACAGTAAGTCTCAGAGCCAAGATGATGGGAATCAAGGCACTACCACCAATTGATGGATCCCTCTATTTATAGTCAAACTACCTAAGGAAGAAAAAACAGATCTTGAATGGTAAACTTAAAAAAATTTAGGCTATAATGACACAGTAATTTCCATGTCATGCTTCTACCCTTTATACTACTATATCAATCTTGGGTGACTGGGTTATTTTTTTTTCTCCCTGTACGAATGATGAAAAGCCAAACATAGATATTCTATTAAAACTACTAGGACTTTGCGGAAAGATCTGTAATAATCTAACAATCACAAGTAATTACTTCAGGGAAATTTTACAACTAAAGTGTTTGGATTCTGAACACCTCTCCCCACTTCCTTCCTCCAGTCTTTCTCTCCTCAGGAAAAGACATCCCCATCTGTCCAGGAGCTCCCAAAAAATCCCAAGCATTATCTTTGACCCATCTCTTCCCCCCACCTCACTACTCTCTCTACTACCCTGACATCCAATCTATCAGCAAGTTCTAGCCCTTTCTCCCCACCTCTACTACTACTACTGTTGACTAAGTCACCATCCTCTCTCAGGACTTCCATAGCAGCCTCTATACTGGTCTCCCTATGTCCATACATATGCTTTTACCATCTACTCTCCACACAGCAGTCAGGAAGTTGTCTTCACAGCAAACCATCCCCTGCCACCTTGCTTAAAACCTTATCGTGGCTCCTTATGATACTCACAATAACATCCAAACTCATACCTATGGCTGACAAGGACCTACCCACTTTCCTGATTTCAGCTCCTACTGAAACCTACCCACTTACTCTCACCACTCAACCTTCTTTTACTCTGTGTTTGACATGCTGACCTTCTTTCTCACCTGGGAATGCCCCAAGCTCATTTCCACCTCTGGGCCTCTTCCTTTGCTGCTTCCTTTTCCTCACTCTTCCCCCAGATAGTTGCATGGCTGGCCCCTTTTGGCCTTTGAGATCTCAGCAAAAGTGTCACCTCCTCAGAAAGGCTGTTCCCTGGCCACACAATTTAAAGTAAGGCCGTTTAGGCACACCCTACCACATCACCTGGGTTTTATTTTTTGCACAGAACTTCTTAGTATCTGAAATTAGCTTGTATTTATCTGCTCTTATTGTTTGTCTCACCCTCACTGAAATAAAGCTCCGTGAGAACAGGACTTAATCTTCCTGTTTAGTATTGTATCCTCAGGTTCTCACAGAAATGCTTGGCATTGAATAGGCACTTGGTTATGAGCCGGAAGAATGAATTAATGAATTTGACTGAGAAAAGCATACTATGTGTGTAAAATATTCTATTAAAATACCTTTTATGTTGGAAATATCAATATTGAGTTGTCCAAGTTTCTCGCATGTTTTCTCTACACACTCATAGACAGAATGAAGAATTTCCTTAGGGTCTTGTTCCACCCATCTTTGAACAAAAGAATACATTGGGTTAGTCCACAAGAAAGTAATACAAATGTAACTTACTCTTATAGAAATCTTAATTTATGAGGGTGTGGCTGGTTCATAAATTAGAGAAAATCAGATAAGTGGAGCAAAGTATATCCCACATTCTAAAGTAATGTTTTAACATATTGACTGCCAAACAAAACAACTAGCAACTTTTCCTTGGGGCCACCGTGTTTTATTACAAAAATAGAATAAAAACTTCCAGTGTAATTTAAAGGTAAACGTGACTAGAAAAACAAAATTTATTGACTTCTATTCACTTAATCCACATTTTTAGAATTAAACTGTCAATATTAATTGTAACAATAAGAACATCAACAAATAACATTTTATATATGTTTCACATGGCCCTGGGGTCAAAACTAGAGTGAGTTAAATATAACTCATGGCAGTTAATGTAATAAAGAAAAGTCTACTTCTCTACATTTTTATTTTTCTTCATGTAGTCATTAATCATTTTAAAGGAGCCCACTAATAGCAGGCCACAAATAGCAAATATTCTACCTATTATAAAATTATTTTTTTCAAGCACAATAAGAAATTAGTTTCCTCAGTTCTTCATATCCTGTGGGTTTGATGAATTTTGATAAATTATCTGCATGTTTTACTAGTCAGTAGTTACTGCTAAGCAGATTGAAATATATTTATTATTTTTGAGAATTATATATGATGGAAGCAATACGAATTTGGAAAAGTCAAGTAAGTATTTGCCACTCTTTCCCAAAAGGTTTTGTTGGAATTTAGTTTAAAAAATTTAAACTCCTCGGCCGGTTGCCGTGGCTCACATCTGTAATCCTGCCACTCTGGGAGGCTAAGGTAGGAGGATCACTTGGGCGCAGGAGTTTGAGACTAGCCTTAGCAAAAGCAAGATCCCATCCTTACTAAAAATAGAAAAATTAGCTGGGTGTGGTGGCATGCCTGTAGTCCCAGTTACTTAGGAGACTGTGAAGATCGCTTTAGCCCAGGAGTTTGAGTTTGTAGTGAGCTATGATGACGCCACTACACTCTAGCCAGGGCAACACAGCGAGACTCTATTTAAAAAAAAAATTTTTTTAACCTCCTAATAACTCTTTTGTGTAGACAAGTGATTGGTCCCAGTTTTCAGACCCAATCCCAGTGGAATTTTGGTAAGGGTACCAGAGCCTCAGAAGGATGAAAGGCTGATAATAAATGAGAAGGATGAGAAGAAGCCTGAGAGAAACAAATGGTAATTTAAGGAAGCTCCAAAGTAGACATGACAAAGAGTAAAAGAATCCTACCCTAAGATCTGGAAGTAGCAAGGGAATTCCAACTGCCTTTTTTGACTGCCTTCCTCAGGCCTGACTAAATTCTTCCCCTTCCTGAGCTTTGAGTTTTAACCTCTCTTTTCAAAAACTAAATTTCCTTCCACATATTTCTAATTAGACCCAGGTATCCTCTTTCCAAATTACACTGGGATTAGGCCTGTGGACAGTTACGCTGATGCTGCTAACATATCAATGGCTTTTATTATTAAACAGAGGAAATCTCTAAAAAATAGAACATTTTTTCATGAAAAAAATACAATTTGGCAAGACATCAGTTTTTATCTCTTTTTCTTAAATTGTAAACTGTACAATGAAATGCACAAATTTAAAGTACACAATTTGTTGAGTTTTGACCAATGGAAATACTTTTTTAACCAACTCCCCAGTCAAGATGTAGAATATTTCTATCGCCCCAGAAAGTTTTTTCAATTCCCTTTCAAGTCAATCACACACCCCATAGACAACCACTTTTCTGATTTCTATCATCCTAGATTAGTTTAGCCTATTATGGAATTTCAGATAAATGCGGCCATGCAGTATATCCTCTTTGGTGTCCAACTGTTTTCACATTCCATAATATCAACGTTTCCACATGTTGTTGCATGTATCAGTTCACTTTTTAAAAATTACTGAATAGTATTCCATTGTTACCCATTCTGCTGATGACAGACATTTGAGTTGTTTCCAGTTTGGGGCTACCATGAATAAAATGGCTATAAACATTCATGTGTAAGTCTTTCTATGGACATATGCTTTTAATTCTCTTGGATATATTCCTAACAGTAGAATGCTACAGATACATAATTAACTTTACAAGAAACTGCCACATAGTTTTTCAAAGTGGTTGTATCATAAACATCACTAAATTTTAAACAATATACTTAACATTATTTTAACCACAATTACTACATATAAATAGCATTCCCCCCCAAAATGATTTTAGTATGACACAAGATATATGAATGCTTTTTTTTTTTTTTTTTTTTTTGCAATTGGAATCCTAGGATACGGATATGTAAGTGCTTTTTAAAAAACAGATATCCTGGCCGGGCGCGGTGGCTCACGCCTGTAATCCTAGCACTCTGGGAGGCCGAGGCGGGCGTATTGCTCAAGGTCAGGAGTTCGAAACCATCCGAGCGAGACCCCGTCTCTACTAAAAATAGAAAGAAATTAATTGACCAACTAAAAATATATATACAAAAAATTAGCCGGGCATGGTGGTAGCATGCCTGTAGTCCCAGCTACTTGGGAGGCTGAGGCAGGAGGATCGCTTGAGCCAGGAGTTGAGGTTGCTGTGAGCTAGGCTGAACGCCACGGCACTCACTCTAGCCTGGGCAACAAAAGTGAGACTCTGTCTCAAAAAAAAAAAAACAAAAACAACAACAACAACAAAAAAAAAACAGATATCCTTATTTTTTAAAAAAAACCTGATACTCATATCAGCAAAATAGTATTTTGGCAACAATATGGACCCAAAGCTAAATGACTTCAAAGCTAATGTAGAATTTTGATATTTAATAGTCTTTTGCTGTACTACTCTATCATCTCTTCCTTTTCTGTCACTGAATTCCTAAGCCATCAATTACCCACATGTTTTTAAAGAGATATCAAGTTATTGCTTTTTTTCTTGACTAAAACCAGTCTCTCAAGTCTTCTCTGGAGTGTGTCTGGCCAAGTTTACTTTACAAATCCACAGGGAAAATAGAGTGAGATGGACTAACAAATATGGTGCGTCTTTACATATTAAACCTACCCCTCTCTTGGAAACTCTTGTTTTATTTCCACTTGATGATGACTAAGTAGTTCGGCTGTTTTTGAATTGAAAACCTGAAAAACATATTGCAACATTAGTATAAAAATGCAGGTATATATCAAAGATGTTTAAAGTTACCCAGCAACTGAAGTTCTTGTTCACTGACAGAAGAAGTCTGATCAGATGAAATACTGTAGAAGATGTCTGACTTTCTCTTTAAATGGAATCATAAAAGTTATAAGGCAGCATCTGAAACAATTTCTCTTTAGATAAAACTAAAATGGCTCTCTGGTTACTGGAAAGTTAATTCATTAACCAATCAATAGTACAGATTTCTTCTAAGAGAATAGGAAAACCAAGAATGATAAAAGAGAGCTGATATGGCCGGGCGTGGTGGCTCACGCCTGTAATCCTAGCACTCTGGGAGGCCGAGGCGGGCGTATTGCTCAAGGTCAGGAGTTCGAAACCAGCCTGTGCAAGAGCGAGACCCCGTCTCAACTATAAATAGAAAGAAATTAATTGGCCAACTAATATATATATAGAAAATATTAGCTGGGCATGATGACGCATGCCTGTAGTCCCAGCTACTTGGGAGGCTGAGGCAGAAGGATTGCTTGAGCCCAGGAGTTTGAGGCTGCTGTGAGCTAGGCTGATGCCACAGTACTCTAGCCCGAGTAACAGAGTGAGACTCTGACTCAAAAGAGAGCTGATATAATGCTAATAGTGATGATATAGGGTTCCACCCTTCATTCATCTTGGATGTAGAGACAAAGAGTCACAGATGCTCAGGCAAGGATGTGTACTGCATGAATTCTTTCAAAGGAAGTGCAGTGATGCATCTAGCTCTTATAAAAGAGAAATAGAACCCTGTTAGCAGGGGGAGGTGTGTACACTGGCCCCATCCAGCTGAGTGCTCTCTGGTTATACTTGTCGTAAATTGCTGACCCTTGATATAAAACATTAAAACCAATGGATGAAAGCTAACAAAGTGCTATATAATCGTCCACAATTTTAATGCTACTAAATAACATTTTTAACATTTAGCAACATTTTTTCATATGTATTGCTTTCCACTTTGTAGTACCTATACTTGAGTAGCTAGCAAAGTACTTACTCTTTCAGGCTAAGGATGCATATTTTAATTAAAATTAATTTCCAAAATCACTGTAATTACAGCAGTAAGGTCACTTCCAATTAGTTAGGAAAGTGTTTCCATGCCTAGGTTTCCTGTGGGAGAAAACTGTCTGTTCAAAGCAGACTAAGAAAAGTAATGAGTCTGTGACTTGTTGCCTTCCTTCCTTTCCCACAAACCTTCTTTTTTGGAGAAACATAATGAAAACAAGAGGGCAAATTCTGAAGTCTGCTGAGTAGAAAATATCTTACAAGTCAAAGGTTAACCCAACACTTCATAAATAAAAAGCACTTGGAAGAACCCCATGTAATAGCCCTGTGATTTACAGCTTAACATTAGGGCATGTCTCTAGGATGTCAGCTCCATTTGTCCTGTTTCATTTGCTGAAGTATCCCCAGGATCTAGAATAGTGCCTGGCACAGAGTTCATGTGCAATAAATATTTGCTGAATATCTGAAAAATATGGTATATTATAGGTATTTATCAGGAGAAATATTCTCAAATGAAATGGAAAAGTTATACAGCAGAAAAACTTTACTGTAATAGGAAGCTACAGCTGTAATATTGTTATTCATATTACTGTGGCTCCCCTGCTACTTCAAATCCCCAAAGGTCTTTGGGTTAAGAAACAAGGTGTTGATTTTTGCTGGGTAGATTCATAAAGACCAATAGCAGACCTCTGGACTATGAATTGAGTGGAATCCCTCTTCCATCACCTCCTAGTTGTAACTAGGGTAACTTCAGGACCCTTACACTAAAAATGGATTCATAGGCCTTTGGAATAGGCACAGAAAAGGGAAGGATGTTGGTAAATTCTGTTTGCCATATTAAAGCACAAAGCCATCCAATCACACAGCATTTGGACATACCAGGATGAAGCCTGGACCTTGCTACTCCATTAGAGCTCTGAACCTTAGGAGAAGATTGACACCACCCTTAGGTGTTTAGGGTCTGACCCTATGCACCACTCTCAAATTTGTAGGACACTTTTTAGATTTAATAGTTTTGGAATCTGCAATTTTCTCAGTGTAGCACTAACAGAAACATAATGCGAACCACAAATGCAAGCCACATACTAATTTTAAATTTTCTCATAGAAAAACTAGTAAAAAGATGAAATTAATTTTTTTTTTTTTTACTGACAAGTCTTGCTTCTAAGAAATTAATTTTAATAACACATTTAAGCCAGTCTATCTACAAAGTATCATTTTCAACATGTGAAAAATATAAAAAAGTATTAATAAAATCTTTTTAAAATACTAAGTCTTTGAAATCTGGTATATATTTACAGTCTACCTCAATTTGGATTAGTCACATTTAAAGTGCTCAGTAGCCAAATGTGGCTACTGGCTATTGTATTGGACAGTGAAATTCAAGAGGACATTTTCCCTTACATATGTAGGTTCACATGAAGAATCATAATGAAGCCTCCCAGCCATTCATTTGTAGGTGGACAAATATACAAAGAAGGCTAACAATGTTTCCACAAGACTCTATGATGGAGGGTAGCTAACTCCACATGTGAACACATTGCCCAATAGCAAGAATGCTAGTCAGTTTTTTTTTCAAGTAGATTGCAAAGGCCAGTTAAAACTTCTAACCTACAACAGACAGAATAGATGACTATCTTTAAGAAGAGAAATTAAAATGAATATTTTAAGACACAATGAGTCTATGGGAGCTAGAAAACATGCTTCTGGCCCAGCATTGTCTAAATGTGTTCCCTGCATCTCTAGGACCCTTCAGAAGCTGGGAAAGCAGGACAGGGAGCTCTCACTGAGCCTTGGGACTGTGCCCTACCTTAGACTTGACATTTTGACTTCAGTTTCCAGATTTAAATGCTTCCAGAAAAAAAGGTTAACAATGGAGTTCCAAGGCATCAAAGTGGTATTAACTGATCAACATTTAAGTGCACATATTGTAATAACATTCATAGGGTGTCAGGCAGGTGGGATGGGGAGGAGGGGATGGGTATATTCACACCTAATGGGTGCGGTGCGCACCGTCTGGGGGATGGACACACTTGAAGCTCTGACTCGTGTAGGGCAAAGGGAATATGCGTAACCTAAACATTTGTACTCCCATAATATGCAAAAACCAAATGGCAACACCAACTGAAACTCACAGCCTTAATGTAATGCTATCACATTTACAAGGTGAGATCTAAGGGATTATACAATACTGACAAACAGGACTAAACTCCAGGCTTTGTGAATACCAATTCAGTGGTATTCCAATTCAAAATCATGTATTAGTATTAACGTATTAGCATTAACTAAATGATGATTTTTCTTTGAACAGTTATGAGTCCATGTGGGACAGGGAGTACAAGTATACAGAACGTGTGGGTGGGTGTGGGTGCACAGTGCTAGCTACTGCTGAGAAAGGGCTAGAAGGAAGCAAGGCTAGTGCAGAGAGACGAGCTGCAATGTGTCTGTAGTGATGCAGGTGAAACACACAAAGGTCTCCAAAGGACTCCACTAGGAGGGCAGTAGCAGCAGCAGGGCTTGAGTGAAGTGTAGTACACGTGAAGAGAGATATTTAAATCAGGAGGTACAAGCAGGAAAAGATGGAATACTCAGGGAGGATGGATTAGCATGACTGAGTAGGCAGTGTTTACCAGACAAGGGGTAGGGTAGGAGCAGTAGTTGCAACACAGGAAGGTGTAACAGGATTTCAAATTTTGGTTTAGATAATGTGTGTCTGAGGTGTTGCTTGGACATATGAAGGGTAGATCCTTAGCAGTCAGCTGCTTCTATTTTAGATCATAAGCTTAATGAAAGAAATCAGTTTGCAGAATTTCACAGAGAAGCAGATGAGAACTTCACACTTGGTGTAATGTAGAGGCAAAGAGCACAGGCCCCAGAGGCACACAGAGCTTGGGGAGGTCAAGCCCCAGCCCTGCTCACATCAGCTGTTTGACTTTAACTTTCATGAGCCTCGACTTTTCCATCTGTAAAAGGATGAAATAAAATAATTTGTGAAGAGTATTTAACACAGGGCAGGTACAGCGTATGCATCCAACAGATTTTACCACTTTTGGTTGTTGCTACTATTTTTTTATTAGCATTTTATTACTATCACCACCACCACCACCACCACCGATAGGTGATAGGATTAGAAATCACCAGTTCTATATTCATTTCCAAGCCCAAATCACGTTTCAATTCCAGATTTTGTTTTGGGTAAGGGTAATTTAAAAAGATAGAAACAAGTAAAGTTAATGTAGCAAAAGAATGTCACATAGTGCAGATACATAGTATACACTCAAAAATGTTACCATTACTATTGCTCATACTACTGCTACTTTATTATTATTATTACTATTACCTATAAGTGGTAGCATTAGAACCAGAAGTCACCAGCTGTATATTCACCTTTATGCCCAAACTATGACTCAATTCCAGATTTGGAGAGGGATAGTTAAAAACTGAAGAAATAAGAAAAATTGTTTTTATAAAAAATGTTTAAAATTAACCTTCTGAAATGATGTATGTATTCTCTGTTTTATAAGAAGAATCATGGAGAGATGAAATGCTCTCCTTACTACTAAGTAACTGTCTTGTGGGCTTGCCTCACTCAGCCTATGACTAATTCAGCTATCCCATCATAAACATGCACATTCATTTCCCTCCCCATGTGATTTCCCCACTAGCCTACTCTTTTATGGCACACTAAACTTTACTATGTGATAAGACATTATTCAGGAATGTAAACTCCCTCTCGAGAACACCATGATACTACATAAATGAGAAAGACCAAAAAATAAAAATACTAGCTACAAATACATTACATTGCACATTTGACCAGAAAATGACATCTTCCAACAAACCACAGACTATCTTCTTAGCTTTGGCTTAAATCATAAAAAAAAGAATTAAAAAAAAAAAGGAAAGTAGGAAGAAAAAAAGAAAAAAAAAAAACCACAGAAGAAAACACAGCAAACAGCATTGTTTTTCATAAAAATGAAATTGTAGTAAATGGTATATGCATATATCTAATAAAGCCATAGTTGTCAATGTTAGCTTTTTCCAAGAACCTCCAAGTTTTATCTTCCTATACTTCTCATCCAAGAGTTCTAGTCAACATATCTGAGTCTGGCCGGGGCGCGGTGGCTCACGCCTATAATCCTAGCACTCTGGGAGGCCGCCTATAATCCTAGCACTCTGGGAGGCCGAGGTGGGTGGATCGCTCAGGGTCAGGATTTCGAAACCAGCCTGAGCAAGAGTGAGACCCTGTCTCTACAAAAAAAAATAGCAAGAAATTAATTGGCCAGCCAACTAAAAATATATAGAAAAAATTAGCCGGGCAAGGTGGTGCATGCCTGTAGTCCCAGTTACTCGGGAGGCTGAGGCAGAAGGATTGCTTGAGCCCAGGAGTCTGAGGTTGCTGTGAGCTAGGCACTCTAGCCCGGGCAACAAAGTAAGACTCTGTCTCAAACACACACACACACATCTGAGTCGTTATAGGCCCCTCACTGTTGATGTCAATCCACATAATGAGCACCTACCACATGCCAGATGCTATGTCAGGCTTTGGGGAAGAAAAAAAAAGACACTGTTATGCACCTCGAGGAGCTCAAAATTGAGAGCTCTTAACATTTAGCCTTGTGAAAGACAAGAAGACTAGAGTGGGCGGCAGCTTTCTGGCGAAAATGTATGTTCATTCTGCTTGTGTAATGTAATGGGCAAGAAAACAAGCAGATTATGGTGGGGAAAGAAATAAGCAACAATAGAATCACAACTCTAGTTATCACAAAAGTGGCCTCATTCCAGCTATGAGCCAAAAGAGTTTCACCAAATTTATTATGCATTGGTTCCTGGCCTATAATGGGTGCTTAATAAATAAATGTTGAATAAATAAATGAAAGAAACAGGAAAACCATCTGTAAGCCTTATGAGATCTCTAAGTATGATGAGACAACTGGGGCCAGGACAATGTTTCCTGCCAAAACAAGCAAGGAACTACAATTCTAGTCATTCTTCATAAACACTGGCTGTTGGAACAAAATGATTATGCAACCATTATCCACAGTGACACACCTGAGCCCTGCCCAGGACCCACTGAATCTGAGTCACAAGATGATCATAACCTGTAATACTCATTCAAAGGCAATAATTTTTATAGATCGTGCAACCAATGTATGTTTTTCTTGGTTAAGACTCATTCATTTATGACCATAATCAGAACTGACATTTGATTGATAGGTGGGGAGGTGGCCTTCCCCATTCTGCTATCTCCCCTTTGCAGTATTCCAGGCAGCTGGGGAGTCCAAGAAGTAGTTAGGTGGACTAGCTTCAGAGTGTAACAGACTTGGACTCCACCAAGTTACTCTGTGACCTTGGGCACAATCCTCAGCCACAATCTAATCACCTGTGTAAAGGAGCTTACTAATACTATCTACAGAGTTGTTACAAAGATTAAATGAGAAATGCCTCAACATAGTACTTGATACATTTCAAGTCACAACACATTCCAAGCCTTTTAAAAAAATCATTCAACATAATGGGGGAAAATTAAGTTACCAAATTAAAGAAGGAAGTTGACTGTTTATGCTAAAAACTTTTGTCTTATAAAGAAACGGCCTCTCCTTAAAACCTGTTACGCTAATTCTCTTTCCAAGAAGTTCCTACTCTGCAATCTGAGTAACCATGTGCCAATCCTGATTCACTTTCCTTATCAGATAAGTTAGAAATTTTCCTTTAGTACAAAGCATATGCATAGGCTCCTAAGATTAATACTTTGACAATTTGACAAAGAAATTAACATGTTCCAAAATTACAGGTTTACTACTAAAATAGAAGAAATTAAGTAATTAAACATACCCAAGTCAGAAGTTTTAAGATTTTGGGGGGGGCAAGGTAACAAAGAAAACCAGAATTACAATTCAGTTGACTTATTAAAGAGAAATAAAAATCTATTAGATAAAAATGTATAAAGTACTTCCTGAACAGTCTTTAAGTCTTGTTCATCTCTATATTCCATAAAACCTCTTGGGCAACAGGACAAATGATTTAAAAGGAGGTCTTTGCTCCCAAGTTCAGCAGGTATATAATTATAATACAAGGGAGAAGGTGATAAGAGTTATTAATAGAGGTATAAAAATTGCCATAGGAAGGGGGAGAAATTCTGGCTAAGGGTTTGAGGAAGACTTACAATAAGAGATGGTAGTTGAACCACCATTTAGAGTTACAGTAGAATTTCAAGAGGCAAATATGGGGGATAGTGGCAGAGGCATTTCTCTCAGATGAAAAAGCATGAATCAAGCTTTTTCTCCTTATGGAAGAAAGCTCATACTGCTAGCAGAGAAAAAGAGAGAAGAAAGTTTGGAGAGGTTATTGGTCTTGTGAAAGTTGAGTTACATATGCAAATTTAATGAATAATGATCAGGAAATTACTTAAATATCTTAAACTTTATAAGCTTCATTATGACAGTTCTTATCCTCTTTATTCTTTTCTGAGAAGGTAAGCAATTATTTTTTGAGTCATAATTACAATGTGGAACAATATGACTGGAAATAACTCCTGGGAATCATCTTGTGATTGAAGCACTTATTCAGCAAATCTTTTATCTGCATTTCTCGGGGAATGCTTTAGCAAACTCTTTCCTTATAACCAAAGGGAAAAAAAACACCAAGCTAAACCATTCCCAAGTTTTTCTCTACTCCGGACAGGATCTCTAAGTCTTTTACCTGCCTCTAGAGCATTCTTTCATAGTTATTTCTCAAGGAGCAGGCAAGTTTATGGATCAACTTTTAGATAGCGTTCTTTAAGCAGGATGAGAATTTTCTGAATTTGCACCATAGCTTACTCATTGAGATCATGTCATATAGAGCCCAGTAAACAGGACTCAATTTTTGAAAGCTCATGTTGTTCCTGTCACACACAGAACAATTAATTGTGGTAATATGAAGTTGATCAATTCCTTCTTCATCACTGTAGAAAGATATCATTGGGGCAACAGAATTTGAGGGACCAGGAGCAACCTGAAGTAGATAAAGAAGATTGCTGGGCTACACAGACAGCAATAATAAAGAGTGAAAAAGAAGGTAAGGACAATCAGGCTGAATCCTGAAAATGAAGCCTACAAAGTTATAAAATGTTTTATCCACTTTCATATAGAGCAAAAGCTATAGAAACTCAAGAACAATTGTCATGCTTGGTTTGGCCTCCACAATGCTTTGTGAACAAGTCGCCAACATTTAAAAATCAGAAGATTTCACAGAAAACTCTGGACTACCAGCTTTACTCAAAGAATCTGAAGATCGGGCTTTGCATTCCTCCTCGGCAACTACTGGCTATCTCTTTGGCGTGGGTATCTCTGCAGTCTGCTTTCCCCTTTCAACCTGCCTGGCCCCTGCAAGTACTTGTGTGGGCAATTCTTGATTATGGCTTTAAAATCAACCCACAGTTAGCTGGCACACATGTCTTAATGGTCTTTCTTAAGTTGGGAAGATGGTAATTAGATTGTGTATTTTATATATTAATAAAAGCCAGTTGAGCAGACTTTCTTACTTATGATTCAGTATTACTTTATAAACATTTATATGAATATAAGACAAAGTGAAACCTGCCCTGGGTGATCAAAAGATAAACAATCCAATGGATGATAGAACTATGTCTTGGCAGCTCAAGCTAGGGGTAAGTCATTAAATAAGATTCAAACTAAAATTGGACTAAAAGCTTCTCACTTTAGAGGCACTTTTGTTAGGATCAAAGCACAAATGCAGTTTTTAGTCAAGTGCCTGCTAAACCAAACTTTGAAAAAAAATATATGTTGTGTGTATATATAATGTATATGTATAGATATACACATATATATTTGCAGGGAAAATGATTTGCAGATAAGAAGTGAAGAGGGAGCTAAATAATCAATAAATATTAACATCAACATGCCACGTTGTTAAATGTCCATTGAAAGCATGGGCTTTTACCAGCAAGCACTCATTTAAATTACTTTTAAATTATCTTACTGAATTCAGTGCTAGGTCATTTTAAAAGCAAGTTTCTTAATTGCACAAAACAAATTAATCAGCAGAGAGTCACTTAAATAGCACTTTTTAAATGGTAAAAACTCTGCTGTCATACATGATAAATAGAATGAAACAGAATTTTCCTTTCACATTATGCTGTGAAGAGCAGAGAAGACAATCATTTGTTTGTAATGGGCAAAGTATCAGAACTGAAATTTGTGAGTCTTTGAAATTAAATAAAGATTCTGGCAAAAGCAATATAGCGTGACTGTTTCCTAATTTGTTCTGCCACCTCCCTCAGTATTCAACCCTCCCTTCCGTGGGAGAGGATGACAACGCATCGTCACGCTAATACTTTATTCGTCTACTGCTGGAAAGGACGCTGTGTTAGACTACCACAACCGTGACACAGCTTTACACCCATCCAAGGACGTCCTGCGCCTCGCAGGCCAAGTGCTCCTGAGGAAGACCGCTGCAGCGGTCAATGTGGCCACCTGTCCCCTGCTGCAGGCGGGTCGCCCTGCGCGGATGCTCGGAGAGTCCTAGCTCCCTTTAGAGGAAGAGTCCCCCCATTAGAAAGTGAGACAGCCCCACCACCAAGGCTGAGACTGCTCAACTCGACCGCGGGGGTCGCGGGAGGCCGAGGTCCCCAGGCCCGGGTGGGGCAGCCAAAGCGTGGCAGGTCCCGCTCCGGCCTCCCTCCCTTGCCCAGCGGGGGCCGCAGCCGGGAGAGGGACAGGATGGGGACGCGACACCCAGCCCCTCCGTTCCCGGGCTCCCGCCCCGGCTCAGAGCCTTTTCAGATGTCACGCTGGGCTCACCAAAAAGCGCGTCGAGCTGGTGCCCTGGTCCACTGCCCCCACCAATGGCCCCAAAACTGCTTTCTTCGCGGCTGCCATGAAACCAGCTTCAGGTCGGCCAGCGATTGCGACCGGTTTCCCGGGTGACGGCGGCGGGCGGGGGAGGGGCGGGTGGCGACTCAGGAGAGCGAGGCGGCGCGCGTCCGCTGAACGCTCGGACCGCGCTAAGGCGGCCCCTTTACCCGCGCGCAGCCTTCTCACCCCGCCCCTCCGGCCCAGGCCCCGCCCCCCCACCGCGTTCCCCACGGCTCCGGGGGCGTGGCGGAGGGGGGGCGCTGTCTGCCCGGTCAGCCAATTAACGAACGCGGAAAGAGGCTGAACGTTCGGACAATCGGAGGGCGGTGAGACGTCACGGGGGCGGGGCCTGGGCGCGGTGGAGGCGGTGGCCCGCGGATTAGGTCACGTGGGAGGCGGGCGAGCAGACGGCGGAGCCAGCTGCAGGGATGGGGACGGAGGCGGTGCTTCCCATTGGTAGGGAGCGTCACTGGCCGGTGGAAAGAGCTCACCTCGACCAGTGCCCTGGGGCTCTTCCCTGTGGATGGGTCCCAAAGTGCAGAACTGCTTGTTCCCTCCGGTGGGCTTTGCAGAACATGCCGTGAGTCTCTGTGTGGACCCGCCCGGCCCGGCATTCCCGCGCTTCCCACGCCCCGCCCACTTCCCTGCAGTTGGCCTCTGATAATAATAGTAATAATTCTTTTTACAGGGACTGATCCCTTGTAGGGTCACCTCAGGGAGCAAAGCGAATCCCTCATTTTTGTAGGCTTTTCGAGGACGGGGAACGCGAAAGTTCTTTCGGTTTAGCATTTAAGGAAAGCACTCACAACCTTCTCAAGTTCCTCAATCGACCAGTCAGGCGGAAGGCTCCCGGCACCTCCCTGTCCCGACGTGCCCTTGTTCCTTACTTGGCCTCACGCTAGTGTCTGTCCCCTCCCCCACACGCCATTTCCTCTTGCATTAACTTCTCTGGATGGCAGAGCTAGAGAAAAGAGACTCTCACTTGACCTTGAATTTACCTTGCCAGGATCCTTTTGGGTCTTGTGTTCTAGGGGCTTTCAAACTTTGGACCAAGACCCACAGTCCAAAATAGTTTACAAAACAAACCGGGGCGTGAGTGTGTGTGTGTGTTTATTTATTTTATACATATTACATATTTATAAAAAATAGTTATTACATATTTACATATATTGAAAAATGTTTCCAAAACAATATTTGACCTTCCATGATATGTCTTCTGTATTTTTATTCTATGACATATCATATCTTTTAAAATGCTGGTTGAAAATCCCTAAATTGCTTATGTAAATTGTAACAGAGGGAACGGCAAATTACTATGTTCTCTGTCAATTTCACAAGCGCTCTACTATTCCAACTCTCTCATTTCTTTCCATCCCTTTCTCAAATCTCAGTATTTGGGAACATCATTTCTATTTTTTTTTCTCTCTTCCCTTACTCTACACCACCTCACTTGTCCACCTCTGTATTTATAGTTTTACCACTCTTGTTCTGGAAACAAATTTTCCTATACTTTCTCTGGACATCAGATTCTAGTGTTCCAGATGAGGCCTGCTTACGGACATGCTGAACTTGATAACTATTGATAAACTGGCTTACTTTAAGATAGGGGCGCACATGAATCGGTGTTTCTCCATTTCCTGGGAGAGGAAAAGAGGCAGACAGGCATGCAGACAAACGTTAAAGAAACTGGGTCAACTTGCCCCTAAAAACCATGAAAGGCATTAATTGAGTGAATGATATAGATAAGGATTTTCTTGGTTCTAGAAGGCAGTAAAAACAAAGCCACCAAACCTACCACATCGATCCATTAAAAAAAAAATCGCTGACCATGTTTGAACTTTCACATACTTTTGACTCTCAGATTCTAACAGGACAGCAAATTATTTGTTTAGCAGAACAGTGGGATCAGAATTCAGAGATTTCAGAATAAATAAGGCTAGATGTACATGAAGAGATTCTTAAATTTATTGATCGTGTGGTTCCTACAACGATGTGTATTCCACATCATCATTCCTTTCACCAAAACAAAACTGAAAAGCCAAAATATTTGAGCTTTTAGGAGTCACATCTAAGCACTCTCAGAGACCAGGAAGGGTCCTAAATGGAGTCGAGCTTAGCTTATCTCAACTCCACACCCTAAATACTTACTCTGAACTCTCATAGATCTGTTTTCCTGTATCTTTTCAGAAGTATCTTGGGTTTCTTATCTGGGGATTCAAGCAACCGTGGATCAAACATATTTGGAAAAAAAATTAACAATAAAATAATACAAATAAAAATACCGTGTAACAACTATTTACATAGCATTTACATTGTATTAGGTATTATAAATAATTCAGAGTTGACTTAAAATATATGGGGGGGGGTGGGAGGAGGGGGTTGGGACCAAGAGCTTCCATCCGGTTGCCCCAGAAGAGCAGCTTCCCATTCTATCACTTCGGTGAATGTAAAGCTTTAAAGAGAAATTCATGAAGTGTCTCTGTGACAATAATGATAAAACTGCCTTGTTCTGAAATCAATCAAAACAATATTTAGAATGCAGAATGAACCGGCAACTGATGGCTCAAGAACCACTAGAAAAACTGAGATTTGGAGATTTGATATATGGAACATCAGAGGCAAAAAATGCATTTTGATGAGAAGAAGGCCCCTGGGCTGTGTTCAGCGGTCACCCGAGTCAGAGGGCACCTCTGCCTTCTACGACCCCAGGGCTGCTCCCTAGAGTGGGCTTTCAGGGTGCCTTGAAATACCCCACATGAAGTCCAGATGGTCATTCCTCCTTTATGGATAGTCTCATAATTAGGGAAGTGGCTTATCTTGTGAACCTCCCAGATTATTTTCAGAAATTATTGTTTCTTTTAGATCCTTCTTTTCCCATTAGGGAGTGGTTTTCTCCTTAAACCAACATGTGGGAGTTCCCAGGGAGGCCACAACGGATGTGAGAATGCGGAGAGCACCTGGGCCTCTTGTTCAGTGGTGGTTTTGTTTGCAGCACTCTGGCAGTCTGAGTAGCTTTTCAATACCAACATGCTAGATGTGCACAAACTTCAGTCTGCTCTATACACAACACAGAGATTCAGAAAAATAACCATTTCCTAGCGAAATGGGTTTCTTTTTTGTACATATATATATATATATATACATATATATATATATGCCAATTCATTTCCTTTAAAAAAATGTAGAATACAAAAAAGGAAGTGAGAAATCATTTGGCTTTGGACATATTTGACTTCTTGATTTTTTTTCTGGTTATGCCTGAACACCAAGTATCTTTATAATCAAAGGATCATTTTCTGATTTGTGTAAGACTGTCTTTAATAAAGCTAGATATTTAATTGAAAAAAATACAATATGGGGGGTGTTTGCATAGGTTACATGCAAATACTAGGCCATTTTACATAAGAGACTTGAGCTTCCACGGATTTTGGTATCCTGGAGGCAGGAAGGTGAAGTGAGGGGATTGGGGGGGGGGGTGGAGGGGGTGGTTCTGGAATCTATGCTCAAAGACCACAGGACTTTTGTTTGCCTTTTCTCACCTCTTCAAGCCCCAGCTGCAGTCCAGAACCTCTATATAAATGTAAAACGCAACCAATAGATATTCTGATTCCATTTTCCATGCTATTGTAGAGACAGTTGGAAGTAACAAAGGGGCACCTGAGGCCCAGAGAGTGTAAGTGACACACATATCTGAGACCAACCAGCCTCCTTTGGCAGATTCAGGACTAGATTTTCAGTCTCTTAACATCAATCCTATGGGACACAACATGTTGTCTTCAAGAAAAAAAAAAAAGAAAAAGAAAAAAACATCAATACTAGTGTCCTTTTGACAGCAGCCTAAGGAAAGGGAAGGAAAATGGAGGAAAAAGAATACAGGATTCTGGTCCACTTTCTCCCCACCACCCACCCCAGATCTGAAGGCAAAACAGTTGAAAAAACAGTAGACTGCAAAGGTAAGGGCCTTGGACGGATCTTGGCCCAGCCATTCCACACTTAATTTTCATGAGCTTGCATAACTCATTTCCTTCTATGGTTTCCTTTCCGCTTGTCTGGAAAATAGGGAAAATATCACTAACGTGGGTGGGTTAATGTGAGACTTAAATGATGTAATGTCTGTGAAAGCACTGTGCAAGCAGCACAGTTAATCATGAAAGGCAAGCTACAGCTTCACTGTCAAGTCTGTTTCCCCCAAAGAAACCCAGAAGACCAAGGTTCTTTATGCAAATTATTTAAGTAGTTTGAGTCATTTAAAGCTCACTGTGATGATTGCTGACTGGTAGAGCAGGAAATCAATGTTAACCTCCCTTGGAGAGTTTCTAGGTGTTTTACTTATTTCCCCTCTGGTTTTTCCTGTTCTTCATTAAGTTACACAGAATTTATATAAGCAGAAAGCCTGCATTTCCCTAGAGAATCTTTTTTCCCCCAGTAATACTTCTTGGTTTTCTTATATTTGCCTGAGAAGTAGCATTTATTTTTTCTAGTCTAGTCTATTTGGAAAGCTAGCCTTTCCTTAATCCCTCCTGCTATTCTAATGATTATTTGGATATGGATTGATATGAATATGGAAAGCAAAACATAGAAAGTTAGTGCTAAAAGGGACTATAATAAAGGGCATAGGTACTGTTATTTTATGGGACTGGGATGATTTAAACTTAGATATACTTAGGTGCTGTTAAACTTAGATATACTTAGGTGCTTGGATATACTTAGGTGCTTAGATATATTTAGGTGCTGTTATTTTATGGGACTGGGATGATTTAAACTTAGATATACTAAGTGATTTGCCTAATGTAGAAGAGGGAGTTAAAGACAGATTAGGAATTTAAAGACACCTGATAAAAATAGCCAAACTGGTAGCCTCCCCACTCCTTCCTGAAAACTAGAGAATCCACTCACATGGGTGTTAATAATCTAAGTGTAACTATGTAAAATAATGTATCACTTTATGCAATGGTGCAGTTGTAATAGGGTTAGGATATGGCAGTGATTCTCAAACTTTGCCTACATTAGAACTACCTGGAGGACTTGTTAAAATACACGTTGTTTGGGCCACAAACCCAGAATTTCTTGTTTGGTAGTTTGAGCCCTGAGAATTTGCAATTCTAACAAGTTCCTAGGTGATGCTGATCCTGTTGGTGCAGGGACCACGCTCTGAGAACCGCTGGGATACAAGTGTGCTAGAACCTCTAATTTTCTAGAGC